AGATATTCATGCAAGGAAAGCAGCTTTCTCAAGGTTGCCTGGCTCACAGTAAAAGATAAACTTGCAACTATGCAGAACAATGCTGACTTGCAGAATATGCTCTATAAAAACCTTTTGCTTTCAATAAACTTTGTCACTTGCCATCAGCTTGTTGACCTTGCCTGGTTCCTATCCTAGCGCTCTCCCTCAAGATAACCCACGTAGGGGTCCAGGCAATCACCCAATAGTCCCTCTGTGTTCCGCTGGTCTCTGGAGTCCTTGACAGGAGAGACTGGCCAGACAAGGGTCTTTGTCCTGCTCCCACATGCACAGCCACTCATGTGGCACCCAGGGATCTGGTGCAAGTCAACAGGGTGTTTGGTGGACAAACTTCTCTGAGACCAAACTGCCTTCCTTCCAGGACCTCCTACCCCTACCCCTACCCCTGTCCCACTCCTGCCCCTGTCCCACCCCTGCCCAGGGGGCTACAGAGCCAGCTCAGACTTTTGAGTTTCCGGTCCTGCAGAGTGAGATCTGCGTGTGTGCATCTGGCTGTGTCTATATAATTATACATGTATTGATTTTCCAGAAGCAATCTGTTCTCAGCCGATGGACTTTGCATGTTAGAGTGAACCCTGCCTGCTGCCCCTTCCCCAGGGCCCACCTCACCCACATCCCTCTATCAGCCTCACTGCTGTTCCTTCAGAGAAGAGAATTGTGGGAACCTCCGGGACTACCATACCCGCCCCCTAGCTCCTGCTTGCTGGGGCTGCTGCATGCCTTCCCAAAGTGCAGGAGTCCCTCAGCCCCATTTCCCCTTTTATGTCTTTGAGTATGACCCTGGGGGCTGTAGGTGGACTTCATATTTGAGACATTTCCCACATGACAGCCTAGCTGAGTGGTTGGTGGTCTGCTGGGGGGCTGTCCCACCATGCCCAACTCTGGTTCTGGGGCCAGGAGGTCTCATGTGGTCACAGGAGAGCTGAAGGTCCCTTACACCCAGTTTACTAGCTTCAGCATTGTTAACACTTTGTTCTGGAGTATTCCCTGTGGTGGGGCAGCCAATGCACTGTAAGGTGTTGGACTGCATCCCTGACCTCCACCCCTATCCCAGTGCTGTGTGGAGATGCCCTGCTCTAGAGCCCATTCCCATAGCTGCTCACAGAGCCTCTGGGGCCACTTGGCATAAAGCAGCAGACTCTCTGGGACAGAGAGGCCCAGGTCAGAGTGGGCAGGTGTGGAAAGCGGCTTGGCTTCTGCTGTTTGACACAATCCCGGCAGAAGGAGAAACACCATGTAAAGCAGATGTATCTCAGAAGCTGGTCTCTATCTCCTTTCTAGGATAACTCTGAATTCACTTGTAAAAATATATAATATTGCCATATTCACAGCTTTTACTATGACACTTGTAAACCTTAGGGAAAAACTGGTCTAGCAACAATTGATTCAACTTCAGGGGATTGAATTCAAAGGGAATTATATGAGCCACTCCCGTTCACAGAAAACCTAAGTACAAAGTAACTGCATTTATGAGATCAAGGTTAGCAGTTCGAAACTACCAGCTGCTCCATGGGAGAAAGATGAGGCTTTCTGTTCCCGTAAAGATTTACAGCCTTGGAAACCCTGTTCAGGGTCACTATGGGTCGGAACCGACTCAATGGCACTTAACAACAACAACAACAACAAAAATCAGATAACAAACTAAAGTGAAACTGACCGACCCCTGTACACCTTACCACAATCAATTATTAGCCAGAACCCACAAACCCCCACTATTACATACAGGCACCTATGTAAATGTGCAAAGAATAGTGAACATAAGTGAAAGGTAGTCAAAACTTAATAATCTACATTTCCTGCAGCAATTAGCCAGGTTGGGCCTTATGCCCCACAGCTTCAAAAGAAGGAAACATAGGAACACTGTGGTTAAGCAATTTAATAAATACTTTAGAAAAAAAACAAAATAATTAAGTAGATGTTAGTAATACTTTTACTATGAAAATAGTAGTGTAGTATGTAGGATAGAAGATTGATAATCACCAAGTAGAAACAATAAAGTAGTGTAAGATGATTAATAGAAACATATATTACTAAGAAGATGTAATCAGGGGTCTGATAAGTGGAAATGATTTGTGTAAGGTTTAACTTGATCTTTTAGTGGGAATAAGAAGAAGCAATTTATTACTTATGTAGGAGAGGAGATGATGTCAAAAGGAAAATGTTCAATGGTTGAAAAATGAATAGGATATATAAAGGTCAGTTTAGACATCACAGAAATACTTCTGTTAAGGTTGTATAATCACAGGGTAAAAGGAATGTTGTGATTAAAACCTGTGTAATAATTCAAGGAAAAATCAAAGTATCAAATCATTATGTACTGTGTAATTTTAAGTATAAAAATAAAGACTTGCTGACCCGGGGCAGAGAAGAGAAGAAAGAGAGAGAGAGCTCCATCAGCCAACTAAGCAGAGGCTTCTCAATTGCTTTCATTTTCGCTGACTCCGTGTCTCCTCTTGTGTCCC